GCTCGCTGGCGCCCTGGAGTCCGTGGATGAGGATTCGGGGCATCAGAGGTCTCTGGAGGGCGGGCGGCGGTGCGCTCGGGCCGCGGTACAGGTAAAGCGCGGCGCCGGGGTCCAGATTGGATACCAGACTCTGTGGGTAGAAATAAGGCGACGGGAACATCCGCTGGAGTGCCGAGTAATTGCCTGCCTCCGCCAGCAGCTCCAGCCCCACGGCCGTCTGTCGCTTCCATTTGGTCCTGGGGACCGAGGTCTCTGGAGGGCGGGCGGCGGTGCGCTCGGGCCGCGGTACAGGTAAAGCGCGGCGCCGGGGTCCAGATTGGATACCAGACTCTGTGGGTAGAAATAAGGCGACGGGAACATCCGCTGGAGTGCCGAGTAATTGCCTGCCTCCGCCAGCAGCTCCAGCCCCACGGCCGTCTGTCGCTTCCATTTGGTCCTGGGGACCGAAATACAAGGGAGTCAGGGCTAAGACACTCTGCAACCCCTGCCCCTCCTATGATTAGCCCAGTGAACCCGCAGGGTGGCCAAGAGGGATCATGCTAATTTGTTAATAAATGGCAGGAGTGCTTGTGATGTGCTACGCATCTTAGTTTCCTCCTCTACTTACTTTCCATAACTATTGTCCCCGTTTTACAGATTTAAAAACTAAGGTGTGGACCAGTTTTCATGATGGTCAGCAGAGTGGCAGAGCCCCTAGTCCAAGTCAGGGTGTCTGACCCCAGAGAGCACCTATAACCTTGGAGGGGCACATTCTTCTCAAAGCACTTTCAAAGAGGCCCTTAGAACAAGGTGCTGCTGTCTGGTTCCCTCTGGGTATCCTTCCCCTGGGAATACCTAATGAAGGTGGGGTACTACAAGAGAGGATGGCAGAGCTGGTGAGGGTCTCAGCACCCAGTAGGTAAGCGCACCCCCTCCCCACTGGGGGTAACCCCAGAGGCCTGGTCCTCATAGAAGCAGGCAGACTGGGGGCTACAACTGGAGAAATCACTGGAGGAATGCCTGCACCTTCTCTCCAGGCTCAGGCACACAGCTGCACCCTACACTGGCCTTCCAGGTCTGAGGCCTAAGCCTCAAAGCTTGGAAGTCTCCCGCAGGGTAGGCCCAAAGCCTCTATACTCACCCGTGGGTGGAATTGGTCATGCCAGCCTGGGTCCCAGAGAGGTGGGCTCAGTCACACCAGCCCTGCTTCCCTCCCTGAATAATTCATCATCATCATAATTGTGTAATTACTGCCACGGGCCTTAATTATTGATGCCCGAAGCAGTATTTGGTATTTATTATTAATGGAACTGCGGGTTCTGAGGCTTGTTTATGGAAAACACCGTGACTCCTACCCAGTCTGCTAAGTGTGTGTGTAACTGTTGGGGAGCCTGTGTGCGGCTGGGTTGTGAGGTGTGTGTGCCAGTGTGCGTCACTGTGTGGCCTGTCGTGTCTGCCTGTGTTATACCTGTGTATCTGAGTCCTCTGAATGTGTCCAGCAGGAGAATGAAAAACAGGTTCAAGATCAGAACCTGCCCTAAGACCAATTTCCTAGTCACTCTGTCCCAGAGGAGCTGGAGTGAGGCAGGTTTGTCCCTGGGGAATGACTTCAAGGGCACCCAAACCGAGAGGTCCCAGCGGGGCAGTGGCAGCTCTGCTGGGTACCAAATCAACTTCAAGGCCCACTGCTTACCAGAGAGACCTGATCTGCCACCCTCTCCCCAGGCCGTGGGGCTCCATCAGACAAGTTTGGTTGGAGTGGAGCAGGACTTGAATCTCCGTTGGCCCATGTCCCCGCACCCCCTACCTGTCCTGGGGGCCAGCCTAGTCTCCTTTTTGTCCTTCCCTGTGGGACTTTAGACACTGCCTTCTCTTAGGGCTTAGGTCCTCACTTTTACAGAATAGAAGAAACTCAAGCCCACCCACCACCCCCGGAGCTATGGAGAAAGGAAGAACCACCCTTCGGGCCCATCTCACCTGCGGTTCTGGTACCAGGTCTTGACCTGCGTGTCGGTGAGGTTGAGCGAGGCGGCCAGCTCCATGCGGTCCTGCACGCTCAGGTATTTCTGCCGCTCGAAGCTGCGCTCCAGCTGTGCCAGCTGGTGGTCGGTGAAAGCCGTGCGTGCCTTCCGTGGCTTTTTCAGGCGCACGGGGGGACTGTCCCGAGAGCTGGAGATCTCACGGTCGCCTTCCTCCTTCACTGCGGAGACACAGAGGCCTGTGAGGGCCGGGCACTGCCTGCGCCCTCCGGTCCCAGCCGGTCCCAGCCTCCCCAGCCTCCCAGGACGCGGACCTCCGTGGCCCCACAGCACTCAGCGCTTGGGGACCCGGCAAGGCCGTCGGAGCTAGGTGGTCCCTGACCCCGGGATGTAGACCAGACGTAACCATGAGGGGTACGGAGAAGGAGAAGGAGCGCCCGGGGCCAGAGCTCCCCCCTCCCCGCCCCTCAGGCCTCCTTCTCCCACCTCATTCCCTTGGGGAGATAAAGCCAGCCTCCGTGGGGACCAGCCTGGTCCTCCGAGGGCGGAGAACGGAGTTTCTGGCTGGTGGATTCTGTGTCTGGGAGGTGAGGGAGCTGCAGGTCAGGGGCTGGGCGGAAAACCGGCGTGCGCGTGCAGGAGCAAAACCCTGCTCACTCCGCAGCATCCCATGGTCCTGGAGAGCAGATAACTGTGCCCACTCCTCACGGACCCAGGTGTGGACAGGAATCTGTACTGATGGACTGACTCCCAGGCCTCTAAGGCGGCCTCTACACTATGCGGACCCAAGGCCGGGGGGGGGGGCCCTGCGGGGATCCCCGAGAGCGATCGCCCCTGGACGCCAGATCCCGTGTCCATCGTGTTGACCGCCCTCTTGGGCGACTCCCGGCTCCTTAGGTCCAACGTGGACCCGACAGAGCTGGTTTGGTTCGTTTTTTCAGCCACTTTAGTTAGAGTGCCTTGCAGAAAACACACACTTAATCGAACAAGCCCGGTGTTTCCTTCTCTTCTCCCAAGGAGAGACTGTAACTGGGCAGGCCGCTTCTCCCCAAATAACTGTTTGGGGCTGCGACTTCGGCCCAGCCACTCCCATTTTTCTTTATTTTCTTTTATGGTGAGTTTCATTGTACAAGGCGTTTGCTGTGACAGGGTTCAGCTGAACGTGAGGTGATTTCCCTCTGTAGGAAACAATAATCCGGTTAATTAAGCCACTGGGGAGGGAAGCTTTTCAGCCCAAAAAGGCTGGCAGGGAGGGAGCCTGGAGCTGCCGACCTAGCACCTGGCCGCTGGGGAATAACTGCCAGAGCTGACCTCCTGCTGCAGGTGGGCAGCATTGGCCATTGGCAGAGATGAGGTTACTAGTGAGAAAGTCCAAAGTTCCTGGAAACAATTATCCAAAACTCAAACTTGGTATTGTAGAAATCTTACTTTTTAATCTAATTTTCTGGACTACTTGTAAAAATCCCCCATTCAGCTAGAATGGATAGCTACTGCACTTTTATTTTTAAACTTGAGCTCTCTATTTAGACTGGAGCCTTTGGGGATGTATCAATTATCTGCCTCAGCCTACCTACCAGGCCTGCCCTTGGGGCTTCCACTTCCAAAGCATACTTTGACCTCAGAGCTGCATCCCAGTGGTCTAGAGTCTGAGGCCCAGCGGCCCTCCCTGTGTGGGGCAAAGCCTTAGTTAGCTTGGTTTCTCCAAGGACCTTGGTTCCAGCGTATACTGCTGTCACCTACCTTACTTCCTAGCCCTGTTCCAGCCTTAGTAAATATTGTCCAACAAACCTTTCATGTCAGGAACTTAGGGTGAGACTGTGCTCCCTTTTGTCCTTGGATGGAAATGAGTTAGAGTGAACAGTGGTTGGGCGGTGATGGGCTTAAATGCCTGGACAGAACTGCCTCTCAATAACTCACATTGCAAAAGTCACCTCCAGTTTGGAGAAATGCTGTGCTCCAGACACCAGGTTCTTGTTTCCTTTTTTCACTTCAGGGTTTTTTGTTTTATTTTATTTTTGCTTTGTTTTGTTTTTTTAAGTGCAAAGGCAACAGCCAGCGCCTAGGGGTGACTGGAACCTTCTACAGAGTCGTCAGCTCTGAACCTGTTTAAGTGATAGGTGGACAGCCGGGTCCCCATCATCTCCCTGATCAAGTATCATCAGGGACAGGAGAAGAAAATCGATATTCCAATTATCTTAAACGAAATGGAATCTCTCCTCAAAATCCCACTTAGGGGCAAAGACATAATCTTTGGCGACTGTCGGCACAACCCGTGGTGGGTGCATTTGCTCTGTTCTAACCAGAAAACCATGTGGTGGTGGTGGCTGCAAATGGTAAAGGATAAAGCACTTGCGGTGTTATAAATCATATCACACACACACACACACACACACACACACACACACACACACACCCCTCTGTCTTTCTCCAGGCTGAATTCTCTGCATCTCTAAACAGGCTCCAGAGAGAAGGAGGCTCTGGAAGCACTATGGGGCCAAGGTACCCAGACCTCCAGACCTCTTCCTGGGTGCTCTGAAACTCCCCATTTTCTAGAGATGACAGGTCCGGCCTGGCTGGGGAGGCCTGGCTGGTAGAAGAGAAGAATGAGATGTGGACCCAGAAGCCCAGATGGGATTCAGTTTGGAGTCAGGTCTTCCCTCAAATGAATTCTTGGTTGGGAGGAAGAGTTCAATGAGTTCTCCTAAAAATTTGTGAAGTTTTGGTACAAATGAAAGCCAGTAAATACAGGCAGTAACGAAACTGACTTTATAGGAACATGTTAATTCAAGGAAGGCATTCCAGGAATTAATTGTAATAGTAAACAAACAAACGAGCCCAGGAACAATCTCTATTAGCTTCTAGTTTTCTACTGGTTGGGAACAGAGGTCTCTATTGCCCCAAGCCCTTGCTCTGCCATTTGACTTTTTTTCTAGAAAGAACTTTTCGCCCCTGGCCACAAGAAACTGCTAACATCAAGGTAGCGACTAAAGATCTGAAATAAAACTCAAGGCGCTTTCTTTCCTGCTTCCTCTCATCTATCCTCTTTTCCCTCTCTCTTCCCTTCCTTCCTCTTTAATATCGATCTCAGATCCTTAGTTAAGACAGGAAAGAAACTACCACAAAGATTTCCAAAGTGAAAATTGAAAACCTGACCTGGTTCCTCAGGAATCTTTGGGTCCTAAACACAGCCCATGGGTTCACTACTCAGTCCCTCTAAGATGAAATTCAGAGAGAGCTGCTGTGTGGGCATGGGGTCCTTCGCCTTCTACCAGACCTCTGAACCTGCTCCCACCAGCCACCAGTGTTCCTCCTTGAAAAGATCATTTCTTTTGCGTGATTCACAGGCCCCAGACCACATCTGGCTCAATCGGAGGGGAGGCCCAATGTTTTCTCTAAATTCAGATTAAAGGCCAGAAAATTCTCCCTGTACTCGGGGTCCCTGACTGTAATTTTCCTACCAAGCTTTCGCTCCAATAAAACAGCATTCACTGGGCTTTCCACAGCGCAAGACCTCCCAGAGGTCTTCATAGGGTCAGGTTCCTGCTCACCAGCACAGCTGACGGCCAAAGGATGGTGGTCCCAGCCGGAAGTTTAGAAAGTTTGATCTGTGCATTTTGAGTTCTCTCCTTCTACAGCATCCCTCCCCATCTCCCTGATCTTTCCATCAAACTCTTTGTGGCTCCAAGGGCCAACCATGGGGCTGGCAGAGAGATCCAGATAAGGCCAACTCCTTAGCCTAGGCCTTGGGGGAGCCCTGAAGTGACCGTGTGACTGTCTCGGAAGTGTGTGCACTCGAGTTTTAAACATGAGTGTTTTTAGACATACATTACCCCCAGCCTTTGCCTTCTGTTTAAGCCTTACCTTTATACTCAGAGTCTGATGAGACGTTGCTGCCACCTTTGTCCAGCTTGTCCCTAAAGTCCTCCCCGGCCTTGGCCGCAAGGCGGCCCCCAGGCTCAGGGGCTGTGGGCTGCCCGCTGCTGGAGTAGGGTGCACAGGCCGCGAGAGGTTTGCAGTCAGCAAGTATGTCTCTGATCAGAAAGGAGGAGGTGACGGTTCGGGACTGGGCTGGAGCTGAGAGCTGTCCTGGCTGCAAGTGGGAGTCCAGGCCTGGGCCAGATGCCCCACCAGGCCGCGAGGTGCCGGTCTCCAGACAGTCCCTTCCCGGCGAGGCTGGTGAAGAGCAGCCGCTGCTGCTCTCTGAGCGAGGACTCAGCTCCAGGGGTGAACGGCAGTCCCCAAGCAAGGGGTCCCCCTTGGGAAGGGCGGGGCTGCCCGCACGGTGGGAGAGAATGGAGTCGATCCCAAAGCCATTGGAGCCTTCCATAGCCAAGCTGCGATCTGTCCTCCCCAAAAGCTCCCCACCCACCCCCAACCCCAGCCGCCGCTGTCCCTGCCCCTAGTTGCAGGCTGGCATGGGGGAGGCGGGCAGGGAGCCTGTGGGCACCTTGGACTGAGTTCAGCCTTGTGGGAGCCCGGGAGCTCTGGGCCAACCTCCTCTGCGCATTACATCCGAAAGGGCTCAAGCGTCTTCTGCAGCCTCGAGCTGGAGCCTCCGAGCCGAGCTGGGGGTGGGGGGTGGGGAGGGTGGTGGGGTGGGAGTGTCAGGGAGAAAAGGGAGGAGGGCACGCCAAGTTGGGGAGAGCAAAGGGGAGAAAAACGGCCTGAGGGCTCCTTTGGCACAGAAGAAAACCTGAGGGCTCCTTTGGCACAGAAGAAAACGCGAGGCTGTTGGAATCTGAATCAAGAAATGTCTTTAAAAAAAAAAAATCCGAACCGCACGCTTCCTCCAGGCCAACGTAGCCGAGGGCAGCGAGGGCAGCGAGGGCAGCAGCGGATAGCAGCGGGGTCCGGGCCGAGCTACGGGCTGGCGGAACGCGGCGCACCTGGAGGCGTCAGCACCGCGGAGAGCGGCGGCGGCCTGCGGCTCATGGCGATGCCCACCTGGCTCGTCCGTGCGCCCGGGCGCGCCGGGGCCGTCAGCACCGTGGACAGCGCCCGGCGGCCTCCGAGCTGCGCTCCTCCGGTCCGCGCGCGCCTTCGCCTCCCCCCCTTCCTGTAAAAAATGAACTTGTGTCACTTTTACTTTGGGGCTGGATTTTTTTTTGTTTCTCTCTCTCTCTCTCTCTTTTTTTTCGTTGTGGTGTGTGTGTGTGTGTGTGTGTGTGCGTGTGTTTTTTCAAAGAGGACTCGCCCACGTGTCCCCGGAGTGATGATGCTGATTGGCTCTGGCCGAATTTGGGGGTGATGTCACGGCTCCGCAAGCCGCTGCCCGATTCTTTTCCAGTTTGATTAAAAGAGACACTGAATTAATTACAGCACAGACCCAACTGTTTACCGGCGATTTCCACACAGTTTGCTTTCATTAGGTCGGTGATGACGTCCCTAATGAAGATGATTAGCCGAGGGGGGCCGGGGCTGGCGGGAGGAGGACGGAGCCGGGCTGCGCGGCCCGCGGTTGGGATGCGCGGGATGGAAAGCCTGCCCCGACTCCTTCCCACGACCATTCAAGTTACTTAAGCGAACCGTAGATCCGTTATCCGCCTCCTATTTTTCTTCTTCGTCCTCTAGGAAAGTGGTAAACCCCGCGGATAAAAGAACCGCGTGTTTATTAAAGAAACCCTTTCCCAGAAGGAGGAAGAAATGTTCATTTGTTGTTTTCCGCGTGTTTTGGGCTGGATTCTAAACGTCGCCGGTGTGGGGCTGTGTGCAGCCGTTTCTTTCTGGCCTCTTTGGGCCCTGCTGTCCTGGTCCGGGAGGTTAGGCCCGGTGTCTTTCCGTGTCTTTTGGAGAAGGGATCGAGCGCTCAGGGGCGAGGGTTGGAGCCGTGGGAAAGGTGGACTGTGGAGGGAACCCGCAGAAATGACCATGGCCCGATGATGCGGGAGGGACAAAGAAGGCATGACCCCTGCATCCCCAGCCAGGGGCCTCCCTGGGGCTCAGGTCAGAGAGAGAGAGAGAGAGAGAGAGAGAGAGAGGACTCTAGACAGGACCGTGCAGGGCCGGCTTGTGAGTCCACGCGGAGCCGGGGCTGTTTCCAGAGTCTTTTCCTCTTCGCTCTCCCGACCGCACCACAGCCGGCTGGTTCTGTGCCCTTCCGGGGTCAGCCTTTGCTGGTCTCGGGGCCCAGAGCTCCAAAGTAGCTGGAGGGCGTCCGGGGCCCGAATTCTGTCCTGAAGCTCTACGGTGCCCCAGGTCGGCGGGGACGCAGACCGTCCCGTGCCTCGCGGGGAGCCAACCCAGGCTTTCCCGGCCCGCGCCCTCCTACCCTTCGCCCTGGGCCCGGGAAAAACTACCCCGGAGCCGGCATCCCGACTCAGCGACCAGACCCCGGCGGAACCGTTAGGAGCGCTCGGCAAACCGAACGGGATCCCGGCCCGGAGTGGCCCCTCTGCCGCCCGCAGAACGAAAACTTTCTCCTCTCCCGGGCTGGGTCGGCGGTGGCCTCACGCCCGGCTCCCGGCGCGCTCCCTCTGCGCCCGCCGGCAGATTGGAGACGGCCGGCCGCCGGCCCGTCTGGGGCGAGGACCCGCCGCTCCCCGGGGATGGCGGGCCAGGCTCGGCTGCAAGCTGTCGGGAGGCGGGAGGGCTGGGGGCCCTGGCCCGGAGCTCTGGCGGCCTCTGCACAGCGCGCCTCCCGCCGCGGGGCCTTGCCTCCTTCATTCCGGTTTGGTGAATGAGGAGGACCATAAATCAAGATGAGAAGCGGGCTCCGGCCCTTCCCTGCTAACTCCAAGTTGGGCCTCTCTCCTGCAGCAGGCAGTGCCCTCCCGGTAGCCCGCTCCTCTGCTTCTCATCCCGGAAGGACCCTCAGCCTTCGGAGCACCCTAGGTCCACTAGGGTCAAAAGACACCTCACTGTTAACACTGATACAGCAACGCATTATCAGTGTCTCAGATCGCTAAGCATCAGGTCTCCATTCTCCGCTGCTCCAACGGTCCCTAGCAGCCCCTGCCCGGGCCAGTCCTTCGATCCTTAGGCTTAGCGGGTATCCCAGACCCAGTGAAAGTGAAGTCCACAGTCTCACAGATCAGACCTATAACAGGCAGAGAGGAAAGTCAGATACATCCCAGGGCCGAAGAGAAACAAACAAACAAACAACAAACAAACAAACAAACAAAATATGCGCCAGAGCCCAACCTCTTGCCCTGACCGGCTTATCCATGCTTCTCAGAAGCCCAAGAATATTTAACAGGTCGTTAGTACACTATGCCTAATACTGGATTCCTGTACTCTGTTAAAGTACAAAACTGCTATGTGGTTTATTTTGTTTAGAATTTAGGGTTTGGCCCTCTCTCAAAAACATTTCTCTTTTATTCCTACTTGGAGGCTTCCACCTCCCGGGAAACCTTCTTCCTTCCAACTTCCATCATCCAGCAGGTTCTCAGCCTGTCTACAGCCAGGTGATTGTGTAGCTCACCTACCCGCCTTGTGTGTGGTTGCGAAGGAGCTCAGGAAGGGGCATTTTTACCAAGTGTCCAGGGAGCCTGAATCCACTCCACTCTGCAAGGCAGCCTCACTGGTAGGGAGGGGTAGGTACCAGGATATTAAGGTCACAAGAGACTTGGGTGGAACTTCTGCAAGTTACCCAGCCTCTCTGAGCACCCCTTCCCCATTTACCCAGCACATAGTGGGAGCCTGCCTCCCCGGAACCCCTCCCCAGAGACTGGGGCCTTGAAGGAGGGAAATGAATGTGATCTTAGCATTTCCATAGGACCATACAGTGTTAACCCAGGACCCAGTGTTGCCAACCCAGTGTCCAAGCCCCCTGTTCTGGGCTTCCCATTCAGGACCCCAGACCCTTCTTCTTTGCTTCCCCTTTCCTTTGGCAATTCCCCGCTTCAAATTCTAGTCCCTCTTTCTCCTGTGTGTGAGATTGCTTTCTTTAAATATTTAGCTTCTCATGGACCTGATCCCCCTAAAAGACCGAAGACCATCTATCAGAGAGGTGGGGTCTGGGCAGGTGTGAGGACAGGTCCTCAGAAGGCTCTGTTCCTGCTTGCTTCTGGACAGCTTGTCTCTCCTGCCTCAGATTTCCCTGTGTTACAAAAGCATCCACAGAGCCTTTTTCTGGAACACAAGGGCAGGAGAGGCCTGTGGGTTCCAGGAGGCAATCTGGCTGTAGGTTCCATAGTCTTCTCCACTGAGGTCCACTGGCTCAGACTTGGCTTTGGGTCAGGACTAGACCTGGGAGAACCTAGTCCTCTGGTGGGTAGTGGATCTCAACAGCTTCCTTTTCTCCCACCACCACACACACACTGCTTAGCCCAGGGACTGGACACAGCCTTGTTTCTGCCCTTTTAGCTTACCTGGCTCAGCAGGGAGAGCCATACAGAGAAACGGTCTCCATGCTTTTTGAGAATGCTCCCGAGGTCTTGTGTTCATACATGAATTGTGATCTGAGAGTCATTATTCAAGTTTTGGAGTAACTGGTTCCAGGACATCATAAGGGGGCTAGAGTGGTTTTGGATACTAACTCCACAATTGGCCAGAGGAATTAGAATCTTGGCTCTAGGTCCCAGGCTGGGATCTGGTGACCCTGGCAAATCTTCATTTAAAATATTGATTCTTTTACCCAGCATAGATTTTTAAATTTTAATTTGAAATGATTGCATTTTAAATATTGCCTTGATTGCGGAGTTATTTGGGTATTTGTTAAAATTTGTACCTGCCTAGCCAGGCATGGTGGCGCACGCCTTTAATGCCAGCACTTGGGAGGCAGAGGCAGGTGGATCTCTGTGAGTTCAAGGCCAGCCTGGTCTACATGGTGAGTTCCAGGCCAGCTGGGGCTACAGGGAGACCCTGTCTCAAAAAGACCAAAAAAAATTTGTACCTGCCTAACCTCTAGTCCCTGGGACCCAGAGGGGAAAATCTTTTCTTTTCTTTTCTTTTCTTTTCTTTCTTTTTCTTTTTTTAAGGCAGATTGATTTTTGAGTCTTTTTGTTTATTTTCCTAACTTTTTGGTTTTGTTTTGTTTTTTCAGCTCTAAGATGAGACTGATATTGCCCACTTCCCATGGTCCTTTTGAGGAATTTCTGAGCTTGGCTCCTGTCCTGGAGAATAGCAGTTCTGCCATTCATAGCACAGCAAATAATAACAACAAGAGCTTTTCCCACAGGCCAGGTTGGAGTCCCAGGCTTGTCTTTCCTAGCCTCTGAAGGAGTCGGGGCTTCCTACCAAATCAACTCTTGGGCTGGAGTACGTGGGAGAGCTGGGGTACAGTCCAGACCTGGGGAACTCTCTGTTCTTTCAGGCAAATGGATCAGTAAGGCTTTGGGCAAACAGTGGGTGGAGGCCAGGCTGTTTGAAACTCTACTTGTTTAGGTC